ACTTCCGGGAATCTTCTCTAGAATTTCTACCTCTAGGCTCGAATCCATTTTTGATGGGCAAACGGCCCAACTGAGAAACCTTGAAACGGCAACGATTTTTAAGGCTGCTAAAATGGAACTCCGCTCGCCACCAAAGGGGGATACATGCGTGGAGGAAAATGGATTTGTGGTGTGAGCGGTGGAAGGATAGGGGGACGGTTTCATTGATATCTGCTTCTGTCTTTTGCTCTAAGTTAGTTAGGTAGTAGTTGGGCAAGCAATCATAGAGTGAGAGGGGTATTCTACGGAGATAGAGAATTAAGCGAGAAAAGTTTCCCCACTTCCTGTGTCTTTTTGAAGGCTCCCATGCGAAAAAAAGAAATACAAGCACCACAAAGAAGCCCACTGCCAGCAGTCTCCGCTCCGGGCAGTTCCTTTGACTTCCGGACTGTCTCCTCTCCGGGCAGCCCCTTTGACTACCGCTTGGGCGTGGGTTCCGCTCCGTATAGTCTATTAAGCTCCGGCTATCACTAACTATCACTCGGTCAAAATAAAACGACAAGTGTTAACTCAATACCATCGCAGAACTTAGGGGCGGGAAAACTCAGCTTTCCTTCGCTATCTCTCAAGTAACTAACGGTAAACACGTGAAGTATATATCACCGACGACAACGACCTGCCATCCCCCACTGGTATGTTCCCCATTGACGAGCAAACACAAGCTAACAAAGGGAAGACAAAGGGAAGACAAACTTCGTTGATTTGCCTCCCCCCCGGCCAGCCTTCCGCTCTGTTCCTCTTGCCCTTTCGCTTTCGTTCCATTCGGCGCACAGTTTTCCATGCAGTGGATTTCCACCATCGCGCACAGCTTTCCTTCCATCGGATGCACTGCCGCGAGACCCCGGAAAATTCCCGCTGAACCTCGCCCACAGCCAAACCGCGATCCCAGAAGCGCGTTCCCACAAACTATCATCCGTGCACAGGACAGAAACAGCATCTTCAATGGCGTCAGACTCTGGCTCGATGTCGTGAAATACGGCACCCAACGAATCAGCGATATCATCACTATTTAGTACCCATGTCAGGACTAACCTCTCAACACCACTGCAAGCACTATAAAACTTACATCAATGCGTAGCAAATCCAATCTGGTGACAGAGAAAAGTAATTACTGAGTTGACTACTCAGTTTCCTACCGTTGGGGCTATGCGGGGACGGTGCAAAATGGAAACTCAACACCCCCTCCCGAAAAACAATGGTGTAGACGTTTACGGGATCTAGAAAGTCCGATTAGTTCTTATTTTCTACAAAAGAGCGGAAGCATACAAAATAGTAGGACCTGCAAAGCCTAACTTTCTCGCGAGTCTCTAGAACCCAAATATGCTCAGATGCCAGAGGATCGATTGCAAAAGCCTTCATGAGCATAGCCAACACTTCTGTAGTATGATCGCAGCAGTCCAACCACCAGACGCCTTACCACGGAAGAGCTCGTGGAGCGTCTCACCATCGCGTGGGAGGTCGCCAATCTCGGGAGCGTGGATCATGGCATCACCCTCAGATGAGAAAAAACCAAATTGGTCAGGATTGCTCACACGCCTATGACGGGGAGTGGTCGGCGTGTTCCAAAACTCGGCCTTCCCCTTATTGGTGGGTGACGTGGAGGACATGGGAGCCTCTTTCCCAACATTCCTAGGAGCAGCGGGCAAATCCTCTTTGGCCTTGATTTGGTCAAAGCGTCGGGACCCAATGAGATCCCCACAAGTGCTAATTTTCCCTCTCCTCTCACCAGGTTTCGCGCCTGATTGATCGGCTACAAATTCATACACCTCCTCAAAATCAATCCCACCCCGGATTTTGCTCTCCTCAGGAGGCAAGAAGCAAATGTCCTCCCCCGAAGTGGTCAAAGCCTCATCTCCGGAGCCATTCGCAGCAG